TAATATTTATTTTTTAACTATATTTTACTTACATATATCATATTCATATATCTTGAATTTATAGTGTTAATTTTTGTTTATTTTTATCATTTTGATTTTATAAAAAACCATTATATTGTATATGTAAAAAATCTTTTAACAAAGTATACATTTTTTATGCTATTGTTTAATTTCATTACATCTTGTTAATTATTCCATGTCTACTTTATACTAAGAATATTACAATGTGCACTTGAATAAGAATGATAGAAATGAAATATTTATATAACTTTCGTAACATATAATTTGATTCTAGTTGAATGGTTCAAAAATTGTGTATGCGATAATTGTATATATAAAAGTCATACTGATTTATATATATTAATAGTAGATTTACCAAGAATTACATAATGTTCCAAAATTATCTGACATATTTTAACTATAAATTTTTTTATCATTTTTTATATTAGGATGCCAATAGCTTTTGAATAATTAGCGATTTAAAAAAAAAAACAATCAAAACTTTCGGTTAATTTTAATCGAATTTTAGTAAAAAATTTGAAAGTTTGTTAAAAAGTATTAGAAATTAAAAGAATCCATTAATTAATGAACTTCTTAATGGCTAAGAAAAAATGATTTATAAATTGGATAAAGAAGCTATAATTTAAAAAAACTATTTTTGATATGTTTTATATGAGAACATTTTCATATCTTGTTCTAAATTTTATAAAAAGATTTGATCTTTCAAAGTATGTAATTTAAACTATCATCATTAATTCAGTTTTGTTATTAAATACGCAATAACAAATAATGATCACATACACAAACATGGAAAATGAAAGAGCACTTATATAACATTCTTCCGATTTTATTCAAGTAAGTTTACATGTTAGTTGGACATTGTTGAATAAGTATAAATACTTTATACAGAAAATTGAAATATGATCTGATATGCGAGTTTACGCTGTAAGCACGCATTTTCCTGTCGTACTATTATTGCTCAATCTTGTAAGAACTTAGATAATATGATTGGTATGTACAGGGTGGGGCAAAAGTCCCGCTACCATTTTGATTGCCTATAACTTTGTTCAAAGAAAAGATAAGTCAGTTTGGTTTTCATACAATGTTTATTTGGTCTTTACATTTTTTTTGCGTTATGATTAGAAAAGAATATCGGCTAAATGGTGACCGCGATTCGCTATGCAACTTTCGGCTCTTTTTAAGACATTTTTCATGACATCGTGCAACATCTCAGGCTGAATTTCTTCAATTGCGTGACGAATATTGTCTTTAAGATGTTGAATCGTTTGGGGCTTATTCACATAAACTTTTGATTTTAAAAAACCCCATAAGAAAAAGTCTGGTGCTGTTAAATCCGGAGATCTGGCTGGCCATGCTAAATCGCCATTTCGCGAAATTAGTCTTCGTGGAAAAACGTCATTCAATAATTGAATTGTTGAACGGGCTGTGTGTGCTGTGGCCCCATCTTGTTGAAACCACATGTCCTGTAGTCCTTGCTCTTCCATTTCAGGCACAAGAAAATGTCGAATCATGTCTTGGTATCGTTCAGCAGTAACAGTAACTGCAACACCTTGGTCATTTTCAAAAAAATAGGGACCGATTATGTTTCCAGCATGAATACCACACCATACAGTTGTTTTTAGTGGATGCAATGATGTTTCATGAATTAATTGAGGATTCTGTGTTCCCCAAAACCGACTGTTCTGTTTATTGACATGGCCACTAAGAAGAAAATGGGCTTCATCGCTCATTATCAATTTAGACGAAAAATCTTCAATTTCACCAGACAGCCTTAGGATTGCATTACTGTACTCAACTCGTTGATCATGATCTCTCGGTAGTAATGTTTGGACTAATTGAATTTTATACGGGAACATTTTCAAATCAGTTTTCAAAATTCGCCTTAAACTGCGTGCAGAAATGTGTAACTGGGAACCACGTCGCCGAATTGATGTTTCTGGAGACTCTTCAACACTATCGCGCACCACAGCCACATTTTCAGCGTTTCGAGACGTCCGTTGTCTTCCAGAACGAGGTCTGTCTGCTGTCGTACCGTACTGTCGAAAATTCGCATGTAAACGATAAATTGTGGTTTTGTGAGGCACTGGACGATTACGATATTTCTGACGCAATTTCCGCTGAGTGGCAATAATGGAACGATTATTTTCAATAAATATTGTCACTATTTCTGCTCGTTCTTGTGGCGTATATTTATCCATTATAAAATTTGGACGTCTACACAACACAACGGTTAAAGCTAAACTGAGCTATACGTCACATAACCAAGATGGCGCGCAATCAAAATGGTAGCGGGACTTTTGCCTCACCCTGTATAATCTCTTGAGAATATTTTAATGATCCGTATATGTATATTTTATGGGATCGGTAAAATCTTTATGATATATTTACATTTTTAATATCCACTACAATGAAAGCAATCTAATACAAGCTATTTTTTATTTTTTTATAGTATTATCTATGTTCAAATTATATGTTAAGTTTACTTTTTTGAAGAGCACATTTAGACATGTTATACAAATTATGCTTCTATGAATGCCAGTGTGTCTAATATGTATATATATGTATATACAATTTATTTCCAAAAGTTGTGTGTCTTCAAATATGTGTTTTGAGATGCTTTTTGTAGATATATGGAGGAGGTAGTATTATAGCAAATATTTTAGTATAATGAAATTGTTACATGTCTCATTACAGCCCAACAAAAAACAGAAAAGATACTTTATTTAATTAATCTTTTTGTCAGATTAAATAATGTATTGTACAACTTGATAATAATAATTGTTTTATATACCTGATTTGACTTTTTTGTATATTTGCAATTGATGGATTGATATGGACCTCTTCAATAACAAAAGCAACATTTGATTAAGAAATACAATTTATATTACAGTTAGAAATTATTTCTTTATTATATATATTATAGTTCTTTTTTCTTTTTACATATATATCTATATTATGTATACTATACAGTACCATATAGAACTTAAGGAACCTTATTATAGTTACATATCTTAAAAGTATAGTTATTTAATTTTGAAATTTTTATTTTATTATTTATTTAGAAAAATGTTTTTCTTAAAATTTCAAAAATTATTAACTCTTCACACACGTATAATGTTATTCTTTTAACAGCATCATGAAATTATTATTTATCCTAGATTGTAAATTATGTATTTTGATATTAAAAAATTTGAATAAAATATTTCTTTGAAATTATATAAATTTATAATATTAAATTATGTTTTGATACAACATATAAATTATAACAATTTTAATCCTAATGTAAGACTATCGATAGTTTCATTAGAACCAGGACCTATACCAAGAACCGTAATTGTACCAGGCTTCAGCTGAGTTATACCAGCATCTTTTATTATGGCAGTAATTAAATCAGCGCGTTCAGCTTTATCTGCTAAGATCAATAGCTCTTTCTCGTTTGGTATTTTAACAACAATTTTAGGCTGTCCACATCGTAACCAGAATTCAAACATTAATCGCTTCTTTTCGTTATTGAGGGTTTGGCGCCAGCATGCTAAAGCAGCGTGAGCACAGTGAGCAGCAGTTTTACCTTTTCCCATAGGTAAATCTGATCGAACCACTATTACCATCTTACAGTTCTCTCCATTCCAAACAGGAGGTAGGAAAGATTTTATATATTTACTTATTGACCTCATTTTTTTATAATTTTTTTCAATCAAAGCACTATTAATGTTCTTGCTGCTTTGTGTATTTATCCATGCATTCCTTAAATTTTTTTACTTCATTTTGACACTTTCTCCAGTCTTGATGTTCCGCTATACATTCCTGGAAATATTATCCTTATTTATCAAATCAGTTATTAAATAAAATAAGAACATTATTAACGTAATCAAAATATTTATTTTGCAACAATCAATCAATAGAATTAATTTATACACTTAAAGTTAAAGCTAAAGTTAACTCATAGTTTTATATTGTTCTTCTAGAACTGAAACTATAAGCAGTTAAACTTTAATTAAAACTTATATAGGGTTGGCCATATTCGACGGAAAGGGCCATATTCGACGGAAAGATGTATTTTTGTTAATCATGGGAAAAAAAACACATTTTTTGCTTTTCATTGTAAAAGCCATTTAATATGGTTCAAGGAGATTTGTGTACATTATTTGTTGAATATGATATCTCTTAAATGATCGCCTTGAGCCTGCATGGCGAGTTACAGTGAGTTGCCACATCTTTCCGTCGAATATGGCCAACCCGTATATCCGTTTCTATTAATGTAGAATAATTTTAATCTTGGTTCTCAATTAATTCTTCATCTTTTACTAGTTCTAAGAATTAAAAGAAGAATAAGTTGAACTAAGATTAAAATTAATCTACATTGTAAAAACGAGCATTAGCCAGTTATAAATAAACATACTTGAATTTGATAATGTAATTCTATGCAACCGGTTTTCTTTAACATCCGCTCAACGGGATCTTCAATTTCTTTTTCAGAACCAGTATTCGACGATGCAATCATTATGATATAGCAACATTTAGATGAAAAGAAATCTGAATTATACCGTTGAAACAATTCTCATTAATAAAACATTGTTTTTAATAATTTCAACAAAACACACACACAAACAGAATATTATAGAGGTTATGATTACTCCGTGTTACCTACATTATTTCGTCGGTATCCGAGTTATTTTTATCCGTCTGCCGGGTCTGCAGATTCGAACAGATTTGAGAGCAATACCGAACAAACCCGAGTAAACTAATCTGGATTAGTGGATATGGAAAATTGAGAACAATCATTCCTCCATTTTAAATACCAACATTCGTTATCACGACTGTAAAATTTCTCAAGCAAATAACAGAGTTTTGTTTCATTTCCATATCAAATTAACAAGACATACTGATAATAGATAATTAAAAAGTCACAATTACATGAGTAACGTGCGTGATTTCCAACTTCAATGACGACGTGAAGTTATGCGCATATTGGAAAATCGATTTATTCTAAATATTCGCACATCTGTTAATTATTTGAGACACTTATTATTATTTATTTTAATTATTTATTATTATTATTCATCGAAAATTGATATGCTGAATTACGAAAACATCCCTGATTGTTTTTTCAGCCAATATTATTCGATGAGAAATTAACGTTGCGTCCAGTTGCGTCATAACGCGCGAATATTTAGACAGGATTAAAGGCACGTATCTCTTCTGATACACGTGAAATTTGTATTATTCATGACGTGGGAAGGATGAATTTTTATTCGAAAAAAGTGCCATGTTGCGCCATACATTAGGACTGTAAACTTCGATCAACTTCGATTAATTTAATCATTGATCTTTGTTATGTAATTTTGTTAACGTAGATTAAATTATTAATTTTTTTATTTAATATAGAAAATAAGAGTGAATTAGGGTCATCAACGGATTGTAGTTAAAAATTTTTTCTCTAAATAATGCCACTTATTGAATTAATTGAATTAATTAAGTTAATTGCAATTTATTTGAACTTTTAGATTTGTATGAATTTAACTGACAATTAATAATTTCTTTACAAAAATGTTTATATTTCGTAAATTCATTATACACTTAATATCTGCATGCATAATTAATTATGTTTGCGCAATTAATAGTCGATATAAATAAATAAGATTTTCGTGTCAACATTTGTTGTGTATATTATATATAAAGTTTTGAAATTAAAAAGTAACAGACATTTATATATAATGTTTCAATTAAACATATATTTTTAACCATGAAATTTGATCGACATATCGGCTAAATTCACGCGAATAGATGCGACGATACGGCGATCGAGACGCCGCCGGCGCTTGACCGTCAGAACTATTCGATTGCGTGAAAGTAAGAACCAACGCGTGTGACGGCTACAAGAGATCACGGAACGGCCAGCCACTCCCGATTTGCGTGATTTTCAGAGGTATTTATCGAAGGAAGACAAAACGGTTTCGTCATCGCGCGTTCGTTCGAACGGCCCGGGTGTAGCCTCATCTCCGCGCGAAACGTCCTATGATTCCCGATGGCTACGACGCAGCGACGTGCGGCTTTTGCGGCATCCGCGCTATTCTCCGAGGATAGCGCGGCACCGCCTTTCTCGATTACTCATATTACACTCCGCGACAACCTCCGGCGGCTCTGGCTTGTCTTGCTCCGGGCTCCGGCCAGTGTCGCTCGATAAACGCGACGATTCAGGCGTGGCGATTCATTGCTGTGATTCTTACGTGTCTCATCGCAATTATTTATAATATATGTTCGTCCGTATATCGGGAACCTTCGCGCGAATGAGATAACGAAAAGAAAGGGAACTGGAGTAAATTAAAGCACAGTCATAATACGAGGATATATACGCCTTTTATGAAGTATCGAGTTTCTTTTGTTTTCTCCACGTGTCTTTTAGGTATTTCTCGTTTGATTCTTTCACGTGGGCGAAAATAGCGGTGAATCTTGAATAGGAACATGTGTTGAGTGGTGGGCGTACAATTTATTTTGATTAAGTAAGTTTCCTGTTCTTCTTTTCTCTGTTTAATTCAGTTACTTTTGCTTTTTCTTTGACAGTAGCGTCTTCAGAATATTATATTTTTTCCTTTCTCTTTCTGCGTGATATTACTTGCTATAATACTAAAAGCAACTTTTATATTTTTTACTTATATTGTAGTGTTAATATCTTGATTATTATCTATACATATAGAATGTTTATATTTATTGAAAAATATTACTGAAGTATAGAACGTAATTCAATATAGAAATATACAAATACTAAAATAAACTTATAATTAAAGGCAAAATACAAATATTAGAAGTTTTTTGCCTTTATTCATATCCTATTAAATTATCTGTTTTAAATATAAACAATATGTTATAGTAGTATTTGTATGATGTATAAAACATATGAGAGAACACATACATGCATAAAACTGTACTTAGTCTTAGATTTCTCACACTGACAACGTAATTCTCACATCCTGCCATTGTTTCTTCTGCTCTGCTTTAATTAAGATAATCATCAGAAAGAAACCCCTATTTTGAAGAAGTGCAGAAGATATATATACACACAATTGTACAATTACAGTTTTGTTACAGTTATCAGTCATGTAACGGGAAATACAGATTTCTGTAAAAAAATAATACAATTAATAATAAATAAATATGAATAAATGTCACAAGTATATTTATGTTTATAAAGTTTGAATATTGCAAGTGCAAAGTTCTGTTACTGTACACATTTTTAAGATATGACAAATATATTTAGTGACCACTTTATTTTAATTGAAGGTAATTATCTCAAAAATGTCGAAGAAGCCAGGAGCTACCCAAGCAATGCATAAGGTCATAATGGTTGGAAGTGGAGGTGTTGGAAAGTCTGCTCTGACGTTACAATTCATGTATGATGAGGTAAAATAAAAAAACAAAATAATTTAAATATATTTTAAATATAAAGAATGACCGTTTATTATTATTAACTTAACAAAGAAACATGTGATTTTTACCATTTCAAGTATTTAATGATTCGGATTCTTATGCAACTTCATGTTTATTTAGAAAGCAGTTTGGAAAGTAACGTCAAAATATAAATTTTTCTTATTAAAAAAGCATTTAAAAAATGCGTATTTATTTATATATATTGTGCACATTTTCATTTTGTGCAAATTTGAACATGTCTGCAAAAAATATCTGTATAAAAATCCGATGTCTACTAATGATAAACGTTATCATGCTTTAAGCATTTAATTTTTAAGTATTATTACATTAGAAATATTTCTAATAATTTTAATCATAATATTAAAATCAGTTTGTTGAAGATTATGAACCTACAAAAGCAGATTCCTACAGAAAGAAAGTTGTATTAGATGGAGAAGAGGTACAAATAGATATCCTAGATACTGCAGGACAAGAAGATTATGCAGCAATTCGTGACAATTACTTTCGTAGTGGGGAAGGGTTTCTCTGTGTATTTTCGATAACAGAAGATGATAGCTTTCAAGCTACACAGGAATTTAGGTCAGTAAAATTTGATAAAATTAATCACTAGTTTTAAAATGTTATTGGAGAAAATTTTAATATATGGCAATTAACTGGTTATAAATGTATTATTTGATTATTCCACATGAATAGAAAAAAATCTGTTTTCTTTTCTATAGAGAACAAATTCTCAGGGTAAAAAATGATGAGAACATTCCATTTTTATTAGTGGGAAATAAAAGTGATTTACAAGAAAAAAGAAAGGTTAGTTTAGCCGAAGCTCAAGCAAGATCTCAACAATGGGGTGTTCCTTATGTGGAAACAAGTGCTAAAACAAAAGAAAATGTAGACAAGGTAAAA